CCTAAATTGTTCCCCAGTCTCTAAAATGTTAATAGATGCGTGGGGAAAAAGAGTTTGTTGTGAAACACATTTACTGAGAATTGTGTATCTCTTGCTTGAGGATAAGAATATGGCATTAGAATGTTTTAAGGCCTATTTCATGAATTAATTTGTCTGCAACATACTTTTTTTCCCTCTTGTGTTACTGTTCTATGAAAAACCATTTGGGAAATACTGATTTATGAATATCTACTTTTCAAAATTACTAAAGATGTTTTTCTTTAAAAGAATTTTACACATTCTGCCCACTTTTCTTTCCAGATTGTCTAACTAGGTGTTATTTTAAGATATTATGGAAGCTATCAATAGGAGCCTGGGTGCCATAAGCAGTACTTAGTCAGCTGCTAACCTAAAGGCCGCTGGTGCAAACCCTCTCAGCAATTCTGTGGAAGAAAGGTCTGGCGGACTGCTTCCATAAAGATTATGGCCAAGAAAACACGAGGGAGCAGTTCTACTCTGTAACACATGTTGCTGAGTTGTGATCAGTGTGATGGCAATGGATGGCAAGGGTTTTTGTGTTTTTATATGACAGCAGTGTGTTTAGAAGGGAGGTGGTGGGAAAAAAAACTGAATTAATTTGTAGCTAACGCATTCTTCACTGAAAGAGAGTTCTGATATAACTCGTCTGTCAATCTATCAATATTACTCATCAGTTTGAAACAATTTGAAACAATCATCAGTTTGAAACAAATCAGTTTGAAAAATATGAATGGACTCAATTTCAAGAAGAAACACTCACTTAAATTTAAAAAAAAAAAAAAGACTATATATTTTTGGGTGAGGCAGAGAAGAGGCTACCTCCTTTCCTTAGAATTCTCCTAGGTCCACCAGATTCACTGCGATCAAGTTGATTCTGACTCGTAGCTACCCTCATTGGGTTTCCAAGGATGTAAATCTTTATGGAATCAGGCTGCCTTATCTTTCTTCTGTGGAGCAGTAGGTAGGTTTAAACCACCTACCGTTTGTTTAGCAGCCAAATGCCTTAACCACTACACTACCAGAGCTCCTCCTCAGAGCCACCCTGCTTCATAAAGAATCTTTTCATTAGTCATCAACAAACATTTAAAAATGTGTCTGGATCATACTGCCACCGTATTGTCACAAAATTTTGAAAAGCCTCTTTTCTTTTATCTCTGTAGTCTTGACACATATACAGGTAGTCCTCACTTACAAGTTACTTGAGTTACAAAGAACCGTACTTAGGACTGTATTAATTTTGGTACATTTTATTATTAGTAATATTTCCTATGTACAATGTTGCAGTGCATAATTTGCCAGTTTTATACTTCTCAGATGTTCATTTCCATATATTCGAAGATCAGATTTATAAAGATACTACTAATAAAAGGCAGTAATAATGAAAAACAAAAAACAAAACAAAAAAAAAAGAGGTATTT